AATTAAATTAAGTCTAATTAGGGAAAAGAGGAACATTGTTCCTTTTGAGTTGCTGGAAAGAGTTAAAAGATTTCTGGTTATATGACTGACAAAATATAAATGTGATTATTGATCATCTTATCTACTGACTCCCATCCTAAAAGCATAAACACAACAGGGTTTAATTGTAGTAAGAATAATCATTAGATGCCTATAAATGATATTATAAAATCTCCAGGTGATCAGATCGCAGCTCATTATACCCACAATGACTTTGAAATGATTTCTGTGAGGAGGACGTCCCTCCGTCGGTGGATTGAGGGAGGGGTCTAACCGGAGAGAGGTCTGTGTATGGCTGATTTTCACCAACGCTTCCAAAACAAAAACCCACAAGTCAGGACAATCGGTGACAAAAACAACGGCCCGCTTACCTTAAATGAATAAAATATAAATAATACAAATAAATAATAACATTTATGAACGTAACCTTTAAAAAATAAGTAGTCATTTGCTGCATTTGCTCTTCACATGGTTACCCAATAATACGTTTTTTTTTATTAAGAAACATTAATATGCATTTAAAATTAAGAATATGCACTGCACAGTTAAATTATGCCCCTCCCTCCTTTAATCATTTAACCGCGCCAATGTTGCCATTCACTCTCTCACTCCCTCCCTCACTCACTCTCCCTCCCTCACTGATTCTCCCTCCCTCCCTCACTCTGTCATCTATTTCACTCCCCCCCCTCTTGTGCACGTGCGCTTTATAGTACAACTCACCCCTTCATCTCCTCCCTCACTCACTCTTTCACTCTCCCCCTCCCTTACTCCTTCCTCGTATTCACTCGTTCAATCCTTCCTCTCTCCCTAACACACTAATTCACCCACACGTAACCACAGACACAAACAATCATCCTCAACTCACTGTGGGGGGGGGGCCAGATGGGATAATATTTCCCTTGATCAATTTTAAATAATTTTCTTGATCTGCATTAATCATAAGTACAATAAACTAAAAACACTGGAGTAAAATGAATCTGATATTTTATAATGTTTTGATGAGTATCCCACCAGTGATGAGAAGGGGACCACCTCTCTAACAAAGTGAACGCCTGTCCAGTCTTCTGCACCCGTGAAGTGAATGAGGACAGCGATTTGCTTATTATGCAAAAATGAGTGCCAAATAAGTGAGATAAGCATGCCATAAAAGTCGGGGGAAAGCCCTGCTCCAGTGTCTGTGACTTTCATATAGGAATCAAAATGGCGTTGCACGGAGGGACAAACAGACTTGACAATACAATAAGAAAGAATGCAGGAGGAGTAGATTAAACTTTGTTATTATGGAGGTTTATGTTGCTAAAGATGGGCAACATGGACCCTTGCAGTACTGAGGAAAAGCCAAATGTCAAAGCTGTTATTGACTGAGCTGTGATGCGCCAGTTCCTGAACAATAGAAAAGCCATCCCTGCGCCCTATATTGCAGGACTCTGGTTTCAGATTAACCCCCCCCCACCCCCCACCCCACCCTCCCATGCAGCTGGACTCACACCTGGACACACATCAAACACCTAAATCCCTATCCGACCCAAGATGATCAATATTTTGAGCCATAATCAGAATCCTTGATCTTTGGAGGTGTTGGCAACTTTCCTGACAATGGAGCGCAAGTGGCGACTGCCATAGTGACACTTAGAAGCAATCCGCTCCAAAAAGAAGTAAACACATCAAACCTAACCACCGAATTAAACATCTATAAATCCATACTGTCGTCCCGAGTGTCACCTGTGACTTATATATCTTGACATTTAATTTAAACGTGGTTTAACACTAAATAATCTCATCCACGTCACTCAAAGTCAATGGCCGGACTGTGTTAGTTGAGAAAATGTATCGATGTATTAAAAGCAAAAACGGATATCTACATCCGCGGAACAGCTTCCATCCGTTTGAGCATAGATGAGATTTCGTTACACATGGGGTGATTTGGCCACAGGGTCCGTCTGTTTGGGTCAATTTAATGCGAAATGTGCAAAATTGTTCACAGTATGCGCTACTTCCAGTAGGTTTTCCGGGAATAAAAGTTGTTCGGCTGCGCGGATGGAGACAAACAAGTGCGTCTCCATGAAGCCCGATGTCTCCACTATCAGCCCGGGAGGTTCTGTTCATCGGTTCTGCTTCGTAGTGTTTATATTTGTCAGATGTTGGAGGATGAAGAAACACAAACGGGACGGCGCCAGTTCCATGGAGTCCGTTAGATCAGCTGCTGGCAGTTGGTATCCTCAATCACGTCCGCAGATAGGCTTCATAGCTTCACCGAGGCGCCTGTGGAATAAGACACTTAAGAGATCCGGCAAAACTGACACGCTTTCTGTCCGGACAATTACAGCAACATTTTTTTCTACCCCAAAAGCAGAAATTGTGGTGTTGTCTTTGAGTGGAAAGCTTTATTTGCGCTTGTGCCATCTTTATATTTCTCTTTCCTGACACTCCTCTGCACCAGCTGAGTCGGGTGGCGTTACACCTCCTAGACTTTTTTTTCTCCCTGCACAACTTGTTGTTAAAAGGTGACCATGGCAGAGACATCGGCAGCTCCTGCCAAAGCTAAAAAGGCAGCCAAGCCGAAGAAACCTGCTTCACATCCCAAGTACTCGGAGATGATTGTAGCAGCGATCGTTCACGACGGGGGCCGGAGTGGAGCGTCCCGTCAGTCCATTCAGAAGTACGTGAGGAAGAACTACAAGGTGGGTGACAACGTCGACGTGCAGATCAAACTATCCCTGAAGAGGATGGTGGCAAGCGGTGTGCTTCGCCACACCAAAGGCATCGGTGCGTCCGGATCATTCAGGCTGGCCAAACCAGAGGACTCCAAGAAACCAGTAAAGGTGACAGCAGCAGCAGCAGCCAAACCAAAGAAGGCTGCGAAGCCCTCCAAAGCCAAGAAGGTGGCTAAGCCTAAGAAGGTGACAAAGACGCCCGAAAAAAACAAGAAGGCAGCTCCAAAGAAAGCAAAAAAGGTCGCAAAGAAGCCGGTAGCAGCTTCAGCAAAAAAAACACCGAAGAAAACAAAGGCAGCCAAGCCAAAACCAAAGCCAAAGCCAAAACAAGCCAAGGCAGCCAAGCCCAAGGCAAAGCCGACCAAGAAGGCAGCGAAACCAGCAAAAAAGAAGTAAAAGGACAATATCATAAAGTCACTGTAAATACTTATGGAAATGTTTTCGTATATGTATTATTTTTGTAAGGTCTAATGCAAACTTGCTGATTTTACCAAGTTGTTTCTTCATTGCACTATTGCCTATAGATGCTGTAGAGATTCTTGTGGGCGTTGTATTTCGCGTTAATAATGCTGTTCATTTCATTCTGATCCTTGGATACATGTTGGCTGAAAAGGACAAAAAATATATACTGTACAACTTCTGAATAGTAATTGTTAATGCACGAGGTCATACTGAAACTACAAAGTGTGTCCTTGTGGAGCCCGTGGACTGTGGACGTCAGCAAGACTTTCCAAAAGGCTCTGTCATCAAGCTCTATTCTGTATATTTTCTCATATTCATACAACTCATAATATGGAGGAAAAACACCATTGTGTTTGTTCACTTTAAAAGACTGTTTATACTGATATTAATAAACCATTGTCTTCTTACTGTTGCCGTGAACTTATTATGCGCATTTTACACGTGCGTGCAATTCTTTAAGTGGACGGAATTATTTAATTATTTATTATACATCAATAAAAAAACAAGCCTGAAGTTATCAATTATAAAGTCAATTTACCCTGTTTTCTGCAGTGTTCAATATCAGGCATGTGAATCTGTTTAGGATGCTTAAAACTGAAGCTGCACAAAGATGTTGAAACCCTCATGTAGAAGCTCTGATGAGGAGATGTTGTGGAGATGCTGGACATGAAGCATGGACATGCAGCATGCTCTAGGATGACTGCAAATTAATTTACCGGGAATCAGACCATTAAATGGACACTACAAACAAAAACAAAAAAAATACACCATCAGGTTGTTTGTAAGACGGTCATTATGATACTAAATACCATTGTATGAATTGTCTCATTATTTTCTTTATGACAGACAATAAAGGCATGTAGGACTCTTGGTGTTAACGGAAAAAAAACTGAAATTGTTTTGAGATATATGGGACACAATAAAGGTAACTGCACTTATGAGAAGAGATATTTAGAAATTTCAGAATGCCAAAGAAAATGTCAAATCTTATCAACTGAAGGACATTTTCAGTAATGACTTGAACTCTTCGTTTTCAGTAGATATGGAACATGAAATTAAACTCCCAACACCCACTTTTCTCAGTGTCTTTAGCACAGCTACGCGGACACACCCAGTGGTCATTGTCCTGGCTCTCACCTGATATACGACACTGCCATCTAGTGGTGTTTAGCAGGAACTCCTCACCCCTTAAACGTGTATTAGAATGAGATGGCATCAGTCTGGGGACACACGGGGGAAAAAAAAAGTCAAGATTACACACAAGTTCTCCTCTACACACTACTAGTTATCTTTAAAGAAAAGGGTGGAATCATTTCACTCACCGTGTTAAACCGCTTTGAGCTTGATGATAAAAGCGAAGCTCCCAGACTTGCCTTCACAGGCAGTTCTTACATTTTATGATGCTGGGTACAAAAGGGTAATAAAAGTGGTGTTGCTTTAACTCAATCAAACATGAGTTTCGACAGCAGAGTTAAATGTTAACTTTGCAACCTATTACTTATCAGGTGCATAATTTATCCAACAGTAAGGCATTTATAAGTGTTGCTGACGTCATTTAGAGGCATACAGAATGTGCCACAAAGATTCAAACAAAATGTAAGGTCAGGTCTCTGCACTCAAAATAAGACTAGTCAGAAAAAAACCATTATAACACATTATGAAACTACAAGCAAACTACATAAAAAGGACCTACAACTTGACACAACAGTCTTGACTTACAGCACAACATTCAAGACACACACATCTCATCACAACATCCATAACATCTTTTGAGAAAAGTCCCCAAACAGTCTGGTCTGTCTTTATTTAATAAGAAAGCCACCATGTTTTAAAAGTCACTTAAATGTATTCTGCAGAAGAAAAACAGCAGGTCCCCAGCTGAATAGAGCAAAGAAACAGACATCAACATGACAGAGTGCACCTGACAACTGCACAGTGTCAGGTGTGTGTAGATAGAAAAGAAGAAAAGATTAACTGCTGATTTCAGCCTCAATCAAAATTAATTTCATTTAATTTGATAGCAGACGAACTGAACGCCATTCGGCCAGATTTCTTATTTTCTTATTTCTTAGCTTCCTTTTTAAAGTTGAGTTCTTGCAGTTTCGTCAACAAGCATATTCATGCACATTTGCTCCCCACTGTTGCCAACACGTGCAGGCCTCCCTCCTAAACCCCTTAAAATGTTTAATTTGTAGGTAAGCATGCAACAAGAACCCCTTGCTGCTAGAGCTATTTGGCAAATCGGATATTAATTTCTTGTTTTTGTTGAGATCAAAAGGAAGAATTGTTCGGAGCTCCAGCAAGAGATTAGCCAGTCAGGATTTTTTGCTTTTTTATTATTTCTTTGCTTCTTTTCTTTGGTTCTTCAGTTTACTCAATTTGGCATGTCAGTAATGTTAAGCTTGGGAAATAAAACATTCATATAAAAGCTCTCCAATCTGAGCATTAACACATGACAGATAATGGAGGGGGATAGTAATGATATCAGTATTTCCTCCCCTCTGTTAAAGCACCTGTTTGGACATGAGCAGTTCTTCATGTATCTATGCACCGAGCGCAGACAAGCTACCTCCTAACAAGCCTGGTTGGACATAAGGCAGATAAAGCTGGGCACAGCAGCATGGGGATTAATATGAGCAGTAGCTTCCATTTGCCCTTGGACTATTGCGATCGACTGACTCAGAGGGCTGGACCAAGTGAAGAAGTCAGACACTGAGTAGGGAAGAGATGACAAGAGTTTCCTGGGTAAAAAAATAGAAGGATGCAGACTAGGTTCAGTTCTGACAGTGGTGGTTCTGGGACTGGTCTCGGAGGTTTGGTCTTGATGGATGGAGCGTCAGGTTTAACAGCAGGTGGTTGCTTGTTGATGTTCATTTCACTCTGACAACAGCTCTGTAGAAAGCAAAGCCCAGAACTGCTACCACAGCTGAGCCCAACGCCACTCTCAGCCAGAATGATGTGCTGCTCATGTCTGAACCCTTCAGGTGTCTGGAGATCGGAGGAGAAAAGTGGTTAAGGTTCTAATATAAAAGCAACATACACCACCACAAGTTCCTTAGATCTCTATCTTTCAATCACTCACTGTTTTAACAATATTCCCCTCTGACTAATCCTCATATTTCCTTGCAATATACCAAATCAGACTGCAGCAGCTCTTTGCTCTCCAGTTTATTTTCTGTTTTTTTATGATTCTTTGTTGAGCAGACTAAAGAGTAAAATGAGTTTAACTGAATCAATATTGGATTATGGTACAGTTTAGCCATAACAAGCAGGGCTCTATAGGGACAGAAGAAACAGCCCTGACATTTTTTGCCCCTCACACTAAATCTTTTGATCTACCAGTACACCATCTTTGCAGCCCCTTTAAATACTGCACTATTCCCCCAAACCACCACAAGTCGTAGGCAACATGGACGAGAGCATCAGTGGTAACTCACTCTCTGGACTGACCTCCAGGTGATCAGAGGCTCAAGTAGAAGCTTTTATCATTTGTATTATCTAATAACTTGGAGGTTTACTTGAAGTATTCATTCTTTAATTCACAAGCAAAGTACTCCAGCTATGTGCTGAGCAACCTGCTGGGGTCTTGACACAGATCTTCAACATCTCCCTGTCGCGAACTATCATACAACACTGCTTCATGTCAGCCATCACTATCCCTTTTCCTAAAAGTCTGCCTTTAAGGACTGGGAATTTAACTACAGACCAGGGATAATGATGTGGTTCGAGAGAATACCTTTCTCATCATCCACATCAGTTTGCCTACAGAGCTAAACGGTCCACTGAGGATTAATTGACTTTGAACACCAGGGGAGCTACGTGAGACTGAAATCTCAGACATTTTGGTCATCAAGATTCTTAACCAAAGCATCTCCTTTGCCACCTGCACCTGTATCAAATCACCCACAGTGTTAAACTTGGCCCTCACATCTCCTCTTTTATCGACTTAAAGGCTTTATATGCGTTTTCTTGATCCAGCAGATGTCGCCCTTGAGCACCAGCATGAAACCAAAACAACTCGTGCTGCATTGTTGTGTTAGCATGCTAATGCTAGTGATCTTTATTATGCTCGTATCTTCACACTGCATGTAAATTTACCTGAAATGAGTGTGATCTAGAAACACAGTTAAGCAGTGAGTACAGTATGTTATTCTTCTTTTCTCTAGTCCCTCAATTAAACAACTTTTATACACGAGGGGAGGAGTCAGCCGGCCGTCCTGGCAATGTAAACAAAGTGAAGATAGGACTCTGAAAACTCTGAAAAATCAAGTGTGAAAAATCACATATAAAGCCTTTAAGCACTCGTGCACTGCAAGGCTGTGTGTCGAGTCCACTTCTCTACACCCTATAGATCTATGACTGCATCCCGACCGACTAGTCCAACCCAATTATTTAATCTGCAGATGCACTGAACAGCAATCATATGCAATGTTGATTTTTTTCAATGTCCTGTGATTTTAGGATGTATTTTCACTAAATGAGTTAGACTCCAAATTCTGTTGTGTGCAGTTTATAACGGCAATAAAAACATTCTGACTCTCTGTTTTTACTTTAGAGCAGCAGTTTGTCAGTGTGGAACGTACGGGTACATAGCTGTCCAGGCAAGCCTGTTGTAGATGGTTTTGCTGGTGGAGTCGAGGAACAGGCTGGAGAAGGGCAGCGGAGGAGGCAGTCGGTGTTTATAACAGAACTCAGCAGGAGTCATCCCGTGGAACTGCTTAGCTTCAGGAAGGTCCACTTTGGAGGCGACCAGCACACATGGGATGTTGCTCTCCATGTAGTGTTGCTAAGTAAGAGATGAGACATGGAGGGAAGTTTTTAAGCTGAAAGAGAAGGGAATCTCCCTGATTTGAAACAGGGTCCAAAATATCTTCTATTTTCATCAACTAAAATGATGTGCAATTTTAGTCAGTGACTAATTTTCTAAATTAAATCAATAACAAATGACTAATATCTGACTAAATATAAAGGACATAATTAGAAAATGCCTCACCCAAGCTCTGCTTCCCCCACCCTCTTTTTAAGATCTCCATACTTTCCTCTGTCTTTCTATTTTCTCTTGACCATTAATTTTTATGTGTAACGTTTGCGGCGGGAATAGTTGCATTTTTTTTGTGTGGGGGCCTCTAAGGGCAAGTTGGTAGAGTATACTATGTACTATCAAACGTTGTCACTACTCTGCATTGAGTCTGGGTCTATTGGAGGTGACAATGCTTTGTGGGCTGGGACGACCTTGTGGCAGGGTAGGAAGATACAGAATTTCTACGTGTGGCTCTGATGTGTGCTGAGAGCTACCATGGAGGGTTGTGACTAATCGAACAAAACACCAGTGAAGGTAGGTTAACCACTTCACAACCTGGAATCCTTTTTGTGCCCAAGCTAACATGTTAATTGGATTCATCTCTAAGAATTTCTGGAATTGAAGGAAATAAATTGTTTCAGTTCAGACCCTGAACTGAGCACCATAAAATGACAGGCAATCAGAAAGAGAATAAAAAGTCTGCCCTTTTTGTGAGAAATAATTATAAAAGCAGTAGTTTGCAATTCACAATGCAAACTAGTTGTGAACTATAAACATTGTAAAGTAGAAACCTAAAGGCAAACCTGAAAAAGACTTAATGAACCCTTTAATTATCATTTATTTTTATAATATGCTTCATGAACTTTACATGTGACTGACCTTGTAAATGCTGGCACAATAGTCAAAGGAATGAGGGTCACTGGCATCATACATGAGACAGGCAACATCACAGGAAGCGTCAGACGCCTTCAGGAACTCCACCTCCACATCTACCTCATTGAGCTGCATGGGGAGAGGAGGAGTGTGAATCAGGACTTAGTCAGGGTCAGAGGACAAGGGTCAGTATTTAAATCAAGATGGGGGCTACTTACAATAAGGTACTTCTCCTGGTTGCTGACCTTAACAGTGTTTATGGCATAGGGAGAAAAGGCACTGCTGGAATTTTCCTTATTCTGCAGAAGACAAGAGAAAGAGAAAAAACAGTCTTCCCCCGAGCATCAACGCTCTTGATAAAATCTTATCATTGTTTAATAATGCAACATTCAGCTCCAGACGAGCAGATGGTGGCTCACCACAATGTTGCGGCCGACAAAGGCCTGGAGAAAGGCTGTCTTGCCTGTCCCCCGCGGTCCAATCACCTTGCACAGAAACACAGACCGCTGTGTCTGGCATTTCTCCAGGTCCGCCTCTTTCTCCCGTGTTACTGCACACACAGATAAGCAGAAACACAAACTATCAAAACAATGCACAAACACACATGGCTGCCATTCAGCTGTACCACATCAAATTGTAACATGTAATCTTTAATTTTCTGTTTGAGATTTTTACATCTTTATATTGCTAGGTGAAGTTATAAACAATCAATGAATGAGTGGACATTACATGTGAGTAGGTCATTTTACTACAGCATGAGATGTGAGGCTGACAGCAATAAAATCCCAGAATCAACCTGTCAAACTAACCAGTTTATCTACATGTTATCAAACGAGCCATTGTGTCAGTTTATCTACATGTTATCAAACCAGCCTGTGCTCACCTGGTCCTTCATGCGCATGTGATCATTTTTAATTTTTAGGAAACAGCATTTGTACTGACATGTTTACACAAATTTGAGGCTTCTACATGATCAGGCATATAAATAAGTCGGACTAAACTATAAGATGATGGAAAATGATTGGAAAATAAGACCCAAGTTTTTTAAAACAACTAGGGACTTATAAAAATGTTACATGGAGGTTAAGGAAATAGATTTCATGTATTTTACAAGACAAAAGTTAGATTTTGTACTGAGTAACTTAAGCCTGAGACAACAAAGTGACCTCTAGTGGCAGTTTATAGAATTACAACCAAGTTTTGTAAATAATGCTAATGCACAATCACATTACAAATATAATAGCATGGAGGAAATGGTCATCCAGTTTGTATTGGTCACCACTACACAACAGTTTTTAACCCAGAGAAAAAGAGTACAGCACAAAATAATACATAACAACTTTGATAAGGAAGAAACAATAAATGTAAAGATGAAGAAAAAAAAAGGGATCCCAACTACTGATGAGAGAAAAGCTTTTGATTAGTCTTCGCGTTCTGACAATAAAAATACGTTTTCACCAAATCAAGAGGTTTATTTAAGATACCAGATTCGGGGCACAAATCTATACTGTTAGACTAAGAATGGTTTTCTATGGAAATATGGTTGCAATTTTCTTTTGCATGGTAAAGAATAAATGAACAACGTCAATGTGAAAGGTTGATTCTGCTCCATAAATCAGTGGGAATAGAAACCTAGAAAGAAGTCCCATTGTGAAACAATCTGTTGCTTTCTGCTTTCAGACATCTACAGCACAGTCAACTAAAAATTGCTCACCTCTGGCACGGTGACAGAATGTGTGATTAGCAGCAGTGAGACATATTACATCACACTTCCCAATCTTTTCAAAGCTCACACTCACTAACTGTCCTCAGTCTGCCATGAGTTCACAAACAGTTAATCAGCACAGAGCAACACAGAGGTAGTAGCTCCGTTATCATAACACTGAGTAATCATTATCATTCTAGTCAAAAGAGAAAAATGATGATTATGTTTCAAGAGTGAACTACATATCAGAGCGTGCATGCTTAAATGTGTTGACAGACGTGCAGTCCACATATTCACAATTCAAGTTGAACTTTCCCTTCACATCTCAAGGACAAATGCTTATGTATGTAAATCTACTAGAACAGGATTAAGACGAGTAATCCTCCTACACTGCTCAACTATGAGACTGCTAATTACGTTTTCAAAGAGAATGTTTAGTATGCTCCGCGGGGAGATAATGTCAACCTTTCTAATTCATATGCTAGTTGTTGGGATTGCCTACAATGAAGCGTTAATCAGGCACACACCTGTGATCGCTGCAGTCTGTGACTCCTGCTCAGTGAGGATTGGGTAGCCTAGGTATCCTAGGTGCTCCAGGCAACGGTGAATGTCAAGGTATGCAGAAAGCCTGCATGCAAAGGGATTGACAAACATGTGATCTTGTGCACACAAAAGGAAAGGTAGTGCATGTTAACAAAACCATAAAATGGTTATGAATCAAAGAGACACTTACGTCCACTGACAAAGGAAGCCGTGATTAGAGATGTAGCCCTCGTCTGTGGTGGGGACGGTCATGTAGACCTCTGCACCCCATGGCATATAAGGACACACACAGAACAGGTTCTTTAGCTCTGTCGGTGACAGGGCAGAGTCTTTGTCCTAGGACAGAAAACAGGTCATTTTAAAAACACATAGAAACCCCTCAATTATGATGCATTACATTTAGAAAGCTGACAGATAATCAGTGCGTTCTCCTTGTATGAACAGATGATCAAATTGTTGAGGAATGGTACTTACCTCATCATACTTGTCAAACAGTCTCTGGAGGAACTGGTGACCAAACTGATTGAGCTCTGTGGTGCAGCTGACAGGGACTCGTAGTCTGAAGAAGAATTCAACAATGAGACATTCCTGACTAGTGTTTACAAACACAACACAGACAAAAGCCCTGTTTGAGTGGAACTAGTGTTACTTGATTAAGAGGAAAACAAACAAAGCATGCCTTTCATTCAGAACAATCTCATAGGATAAGCCATGTTTGTGCTTAACTCTGATTGCCCCAGACAGGACTAGATTCTGTGGAACATTTGCCTCAAACTTAACTAAAAGTAGTCTACATGGACTAACTGTTGAACCTGGTCACAGGAAAATAAATGTTCCTTATAGCATGCAGCGATCTCCCATGTTATCAATGTGAGATTTCACTTTTCTGATGGATTTGAGCTCTCTTTTTGGAAATCTGTCTCTATGCTATGAAGCAAGTGGAGCCCTCCTGAGCCTGCACAAACTACACTGTAAAAAAGAAAAAGCTTTCTTGTAATGCAAGCCCACATTCCACTATTCTCAAACAGGAAAGAAGCAGAAACAAAAGAACAACAAAAGTAATATGACACCAATCACATATGGCAGGTTACATAACATTTTTTTATGTTTTGAGGATTGATGTGGCAGATATCCACAGCATTAGGATTATAGATGACATAAGCAACGGTTCTATAGCACTAGAGGTACACCGGTAAAACAAGAACCTTGCAATGGGGCAATAAATCCAAACAGAAACACACAAGATAAAGTCCCAGAAATAAGACCATAGGGAATACAGAAATGATGTTTACTACACAAACCTTTTAAAAATCAGCAAGTTGTAATACTTTAACATTTTACACCTGGTTTGATGGATCGAGTAAAAAAAATAGTTAGACGGCATACTCAGGGTAAAGGAAGTCATCAGTCAGCTCAAGGTTGTCGTCATAACCAAACTTCCTGAGGATTGTCCATGTGGTTTCATGTCTCCCCCTCTGGATAAATAATGTATTAAGAAACAAGAAACCTGCAAAAGAATACACAATGCATGTCCATTAGTCGAGAGGGTCGCCTTGCAACAACAACAACACGGTGTAAAGTTGCATGATGATGTCACTCATGACTGATTTGTCTTTTACCATTCAGGGTCAGGCCGTTATCCTGCACGCCATCACTGGTGTTCTTCCAAACTACCGTCTTCACGTCGTCTAAGGCTTGAGGTGCCAGAGGATTCCCAAAGCAAGATTTCTAAACGTAAAGACAAGTGCATTTTATAGTAAACTAAATAGTTAAAAAATAACAGAAAACGTGAAGTGAAGTTGGGGTGGCAGTAGCTCAGTCTGTAAGGACTTGGGTTGGGAATCGGAGGGTCACTGGTTCACGTCCCGGCACGGACAAGTCTGGAAGTTGGTCTGGTAGCTGGAGAGGTGTCAGTCCACTTCCTGAGCACTGCCGAGGTGCCCTTGAGCAAGGCACTGAACCCCAAAACTGCTCTGAAGCGCCCACTGTGGGCAACCTCTTCATTAGTGCATGTCCGTAGGATCCTGTATGTGCATGTCTGTGTAGCATGTTCACTAGACAGTGTGTAAAAAACTGAATTTCCCCTCCTGGGATTCATAAGATAAATTATTATTAAGTGGTACCTGAAAGCAGTTGAGTTCAGCGTCACTGAGAATACGGTCGTTGTCCTGGTCAGACACGTAGAATATTCTGCTGAGGGCTCGGACGCACAATGGTTTGAGCTAGTGAGGAAATAATGAAGGACAAAAATAGCAACATTAAACCAATCATTAGTAAGCATATATATTAATAAGTGTACTGGGACAGATGACAGGCTGACTCCACAGCTAGCAGCTGGTTTCCAAAAATGGCTGACCTGTTTGTCCTCAGGGTCGTAGAGAGGGGCAGTGGGGTGAAGAACTGCCTTCTGTGCATAGTAAAAGAGCTCCGAGATATTTTTCAGGTTCTTTGCAGAGCACTTAAAAAGCAAAAAGTAGAGTCAGATCAAGTGTCCATGCATAAATACTGCTGTGAAGTTTAACTGTTTATACGCATGTGTTTACAGGCTGTAGTGATTAGCACACAGGAGAAGTCTGTGATGAAGTTCACCTCAACACACGTCTCAATCTCAGAGAACTGGTTCATGATGGGAAGAATGGTTTCCATTGAGCTTCCACAGCGCAGATCAGACTTGTTTCCCACAAGGATGATGGGAACTCTGTTGTGAAAAATGAAGACTGTCAGTCTCCAAACATCGCTAACACAATAATACAAAACTGTTACAGAAGATATGAAGCAACTCAGCTGATTCAAAGAGTCTGTCCTGGAAATGTAACTGGGATATCATTCAGGGCAGCTTACTGAGAACAGGCTTGAATCAGAGGTGTGGACTCGAGTCAACAAAATCATAAGGATACAATTCAACTTGGCCTTTAACACCAATGACTTGTGACTTCACTTGGACACGAGCCTTATTACTCAAAAATACTTGAGATTTCAATGAGTGTATGTTATTTTAGGGCCGCATCTCTGTGGCGCAGAAAACACGAGCGGAATCACAGAATTTAATAATGAAAATGAAATTAACTGTAAACACTCAATAGCATGGCATTTGTCCTAAATGTGTGTTTTTGTTTTTTTCAATCTGGGTTTTTTCCTACCAACCGAAGTGTTTTTATAAAGGCAGCCGGTGGTGGCCTGGGCACTACTACCTTTAAAAATGTTAAGCTGAACAAATCTATATATTTATTTGGCATTTCTCAATTTCCTGATCTGATTAAATGATCTGTGACTTAAATCTGTGATCTGATCCAACGGAACAAATTTTAAAACATTGAATTCAGAAAACTTGAAATGGACAAAACGGAATCTGGAAAAAAATAAAACCGAGTCAGTCACATCTTTCCTTTTCTATTTTAAGAAGTAGTCTAAACAAAATCATTACAAAAGCAATCATGATGTGTGTTAGTTTAAAAGATTATGACTCTGTTAAGATGGCACTTCATTTGGTAAAAAGTGCTAATGACTTGTTTAGGACTTGAAATTCCAAGTTTAATACTTTAACTTGAGTCTGGACTTGCCTGTCTTTACTTGGGACTTGAGACCAAAAACTTAAGAGCGACTTGCAAAACAATGACTTAGTCCCACCTCTGGCTCAACTTCCTATTTAGTCAACATTTCCCATGCAGACAGTGGGATCAGGAGGAATGTTCATAGCTAATACATACTTGCTGCCTTTCTCTGCTTCTCCGTTAACTAGAGGGATCCATTTAGTTTTGATCTGAAAACAAAATGCACAGTGTAGCATAAGTTTCATTGTTTCTTTAATGCACTGAATGCTGGATGCATGTACAGTACAAGACAGAAAAACATCATGAAACAGGTTATTACCTTGTCTATCGTGTCCTCATTGGTGACATCATACACTACACAGACCACATTTGCCTGTGTGGGTGGGGAGAAAGATGAGGAGAAACATAAAGCACTTCATTGTTTAATACAAAACCCCTCATAGTGATTAAAGAAAAACACAAAAAGATGAACGAATCAACTGTGAAAGAAGAGAGATCTAGGAAAATCATTTGTAGAGAGGAAAGCTGTGAAAGATTATGGCTAGGATGTTTAGTGTGGGCTACACTGCTTTAATGTTGGGCCTCATAAATATATGATTTTATCTAAACAAACTTGTTACAAACCAAAGAAAGTTACGTTGTGTTAATGGCTCAATCCTTGAATTTTAAACAGGAGTGGCTTGCAAAAAGGGTCACTTATCTTTCAGAAAGGAGGATTTATTAGGCTGTTTATTGGTTGAGTGTGGTTCACTGACCTTGACAATTTCATCTCGGAGGACTTCATCACTCTGCTCTTTTTCTGTTAGGGTTAAAGACAAACATGAACAAATCTTCAAAATGAACACACAAACACACTGTCACATGTCTGACAGCTGGTGTCTTCATGTACAACAAGTTTTGAGACCAGTTAAACGACTAAAATGATGGCGTTGCTACATGTTAGCCTTCAGGTCATGTTACCTGTGTAGTCCACTATGTGTGTGGGCACCTTCTCTGGAGTCACGTCGGCGGGGATGGTGATCTCCTCAGCTCTGGAGGGAACCTGTCGGAGATTAGAGAGAACAGACAAACTCCCAACAGTCACTTCATCAGGCCACAGCTTGCACATTTCTGAGATGAAAACAAGCAAGGACACATTTTTTAAATTAAGAAATTCAAATAAAACTATACGTTTTATGTATTAGCCATTTAAAGTTTAAACATATAAATAGAACTCTCATCCATGTAATTTCCTGTAGCATCATACAAATGTCAGTTTTTTAGTTTTAAGGCATGAGTGTGCCTCAAAACTAAAATATGTTGCAATCAGAAAAAGGGTCATACACAAAGTACAAGCAAAGATATGGATGGCAGAGCAGGTCAATTTCAACATGATGAACAAACCCCCCCCCCAAAAAAAAAAAAAAAACCTAAACTAAACTTCAACAATTCTAGAGATTTCTAAACTCGAGTGATCACATGTTGTAATCTTAACCAGATTATTGTATCTCAAAAAATCAGTTGCTCAACCTAACCCCAACAAAAGAAGTAAAGAAACAACTTAAAAGTCAAATTAAAAGACATGTTAACTAATGGTAACAACTGAGGCCTTTACATCTTAAAACAATGGCTTTATCTTATCCTACATGAAAATGTTGGCAGCAGTAGAAGTAAATAGTTTATCATAATGCAAAGTAAGCTGCAGAAGTGAAATGTAAATTTCAATATTCTTGCACACGGAGAGCACCAGCACCAGCAGAGAAACGACAACAGTAGAATAAACAAAGCCATCATAAGCTTAAAGCTGTTTTCATGAGTTGAGCATCCCTCAGTGAAAAATGGTGCTGAAGTAAAACCACAGCAGAGTTTTAGAGTTGTTACCTCCTCTGGAAACTCCTCTCCAACCAAAGACATGATCAGGGATGTCTTCCCCACCTTGGCTGTAGGAGGAAAAAAAAACGATGAAAGCAGATGGCAAAGATGGGCTACAATTCTACTTTTTGTGATAAAATGATGGCATTAGATGTTAAATCTACTATTAAGCAACTACTTTATAGAAATAAATGAAATGGTCTTCAGCAAAATGTTTCTTCGCCCCTAAATTAAGGAGACATAAATTGTGATATGAAGATAGATAGATAGATAGAATCTTTATTATCATTGTATACAAGGACACAGCGAAACTTTGTTAACAGCAATCCTAAACAGCAGCGTTTACAAAAACAAAAATATATTTGTGGTGATATAAAAGAGAAGTATGCAAAAAGTGGCCAGAGCAATTGCTGTTCAGTCAATGAATGATAATAATAATAAATAAATAGACAGTTGTGGTGACTGAAAGAGTATATACAGTTATTGTTTTGCAGTGACTGATTAATTAAACAAAAATAAATATAGAGATATGGTGCAAATAAGTGAAGTTATAGTGCAGTGAAAGAGTATATACAGTTATTATTGTGCAGTGACTGGATGAGTAAATAAACAGTTTTAGTGCAATGAATGAATAAATAAATAGACAGTTAAAGTGCAGTGACTGATAAATAGATAGACAATTGTAAAGCATTGAATTGATATCGATATATGACAGCATGTACGGTTATTGTCATAAACCTGAACCTAAACTTTCTATAAAAATGTTAAAGTTTCGCGTTATGTTAGACGTGTTGATATGTTAAACATTACTTTCCTTTTACTCCTTTTTCTCAGTCACAGCACTTTAACTGTTTATTTACTCATCCAGTCACTGCACAATAATAACTGTATATACTCTTTCACTGCACTATATCTCTATATTTATATTTGTTTGATTAATCAGTCACTGCAAAACAATAACTATATATATTTCAGTCACCACAACTGTCTATTTATTTATTATTATCATCATTAATTCACTGAACAGCAATTTCCCTGGCCACTTTTTGCATATTTCTCTTTAATATCACCACAAATATGTTTTTGTAAACACTGCTGTTTAGGATTGCTGCTAACAAAGTTTCGTTGTGTCCTTGTATACAATGATAATAAAGATTTGTTTCTATTCTATAAGGTGCCAAAAGTTATCTGATGGTAAAGTTCTGTTCAGATTGTTAACTGAAGCTGGAAAACATGAACATTTAGCTAACTAAAATGACAGTTTGTACATAATGGCCTCCAACTTGTAAAATGTTTAGTTTCCTTTAATGTCATGTTAAAGTTTTCTCAGTTAAATCGTTCATAGCTTAAAAGTTACTATGGTGAGTTAAGTTAGCATAGCGGAAATCTAAAAATCTTAAAGCTGTCAATTAAAAACACAATTTTATCAACTGGAACATAGCGAGTTGATAAATGTACATTTGTAAAACGTTTTGCCACCAGGAGTAACCACAGTGAACTACAAGTTAGTAGCTAGCTAAGTTAGCTACAACAGCTAATGTTTGCTATTTTTCTTAGCTTGTGTTTTGATGTAGGTGCGGATGACTTACGCTCCCCCAGTAACAGTATTCTGACGTCCTGTTTCATGTTTCCTCGCTGTTTGAAGAACAGTCCGACCCGCTGCTATGCTACAGGGACATTTATCTTTCATTTGACAGGCAAATTTCTAGCTAAAATAAAATGTGTACCTCAGCACAGCGTTCTGCACCCAAGGTGAAACCATGCTTTTCCGGTTCACAGAGGAGACGGTGAAATGGCGCCCTCTGCTGGCAGAGAAACACACTGCTGTCTCACTGACAATTCTCATCACATACCCGTGTGTTGTTTGTTAAAACCATACAAAAGCCGTAAAATAAGGTAAACAAAAATCAGAAAAAAGGGTAATTAAATACCAACAGTTTTATATACACATGAAAATGATCCAAATCGAACAGAATAAAATTACAGTAAAAGTACAGAATCAAGCAGGTGGATACAAAAATGTACAAAAGGCTATAGCAGCTATATGAACTCTGAAGGTGGTGGACAGGCTCCAGAAAGCTTTGAGCAGGGCAAAAACCAGAGTTATTGTATAATGTGTAGATACAGAATTCGGCGACAGTATTGTCATTAGGAGGACTCGCTATGTCTTACATGAACAGTATGTATGCCTCTTAAACCAACAGGTGGGTATTATGTGAACAAACAGTAACACATACACATCTGTTATGTTACATATGTTGCTTAAGAGGATTTTGTGACCTGATCCAAAGGCTGAAAGCATCATTTGTGAAAGTACTGTATGGAATTATAAGGGCTCACAACTGATCTGAACCTTTCCTCTCCCTAACCTCAACCTCTGCCTGAAAAAGACTGATTTTAAAATTAGGGCTATGTTGTTTTCTCCATTACACAGGGATGTGTAATATAGAACAATCACAAACAAGAGAGAACATTTTTTGGATAATTTCCCTCCCTGAAAAATATGAATAGTACTGCACTTACCGTAACTCCTAGGTCATGGTATGTGCATTTTACTGTGTAGCACCATTTCATGTTCTGATGGGAAGCATGTGAAAATACAAATGTCTTTGGCTACAGCAGTTTCTTATTTTGTATGTTAGCATTGTTGGTGTCATCTTACTTTTACTGCTTTTTATCTAAAGCCCAATCTCAGAGCAGCCCACAAACTGGTTCTATCCGCCATTAAAAACAGGAGTTGTGTTCATTTATACAAGTACAAACTCACAGTAAGAAAAGCCAAATAAATACTCAAACATCAGGAGTATATAAAATCCCACCATTCAATTAAATAATCCATACATCTTTGACGGAAATTTGAGTCAGATACATTTCTTCTCTAAAAAAGATTTGATTCATAAAAAAATCGAAATATAGAACAATACATTTACAGAGATTTTTGAAATCTAAAGATATGAAGTTTGCAGTCTGAGGACATCAGAGGCCCTTCACCTCCCACAGCAGGATCTCATTATAAGCTACAGTGAAGAGAAGAGACCCAGAGGGAGAGAAGTGACACGACTGCAGTGAGTCGCTGTGCTGCACAAAGTCCTGGAACCTGCCGCCGGTCGACTCGATCAACTTCAGCACTCTCTCTGAAATGATTTGAAACAGAGAGATGAATTAATTAAAACATTCTTAGTATAACACAACTTTTTTTTCAATGAATCATCAAAGAAAAAGAAGATGACAGTTTACCTTTTGATCCCACAGCTATCAGTTGACTCTTACAGGAAAGGCTAAAGCATGTGGCCCAGTGAGGCAGGGCAATCTTTTTTATTATCTGTGAAAACAAACACAATGAATAAGAATACACAAACATGTTTACCAGGGACATCCACCCCATGGATTGTATATAAGACTGGTTTATGAAGCCCAAAGACAACAGTCACCATATTGGAATGGAAATGCCATCTGCATCTAACTTTTGATCAAGCTAGTAACGGGTAAATACAGGCGTTTAGCCTCCTTGCAAACAGCTACAAAACCCACCTGTCATCAAAACAGTAGTATTATAACCCCCCCTCCACCTGTACAGTCGTTATGGGCTCTAATTGGGATTCCTCAGCTTTTGCAGCTAGCCTCAAGTAGACACCCAAGCCACTGCAGTTATTTGCACTTCTACATTGGGTTCATTTTTTAACACCAGAACTTGATCCAGGTACAGAAAAAAACAGTCCTAGAGTTGTGGAAAGGAGGGGTGAGGTGGGGAGGGGTTTATACCTGTTTTTTAGCCAGGCTGTAAAAGGACAGCTCTTTCTCCACTCCATAGCCCGTGTAGACCACCAGGCTGGGGTCTGTGGGGCAGAAGGCAGCCAGACTCGGAGGTGGGCTGTCATCCTATTTAAAAAAAAACAAACACATTTTATAAATATCAGGTGCAATATGGTGAAGCATGGAATGAGCTTGACAATTTTTGTCCAGACATTAAAATAGGTGACATCATATTTATAAAAAAAGGTTGTTACTACTCATTACTCAGACTTAGTGCTCAGTTAGAAATTTTCCTCAGAAGAGACAACAAAATAACTGAAGCTGTGATCTTCTGCATCAAAAATAATAATACCAATAAAGCTAAATCTGAAAATATTAAACGATTGCAACTAGTATATCTGCAAGTCTTTAAAGAACGAGAACATTTGGAGTGAAATTCATAGTATTTACAAAGCACGACTACTTAAAAAAACAGACAGTACCCCGATGTAAGACGGAGCAGGAAATGTCAGCCAGTCCAGCAAATCACACTTGTCCTTCATCCAATCAGCAGCCCACACGCTGACACGTCTGTCATCAGTTGCAGCCAACCACATCTCAATTCCCTCCAGTCCAAAATCCTTACACTGAGAATTACAAGTTAACAGCTTCAGACAAGAAAACATGTCATTAAATGTCAAAGAAAGAACATTCTGGGGCGCGCTGGTGGCGCAGTGGCAGGGCGCGCGTCTCATGTGTTGAGACTCTCGTCTCGAGCGGTAGGCCCGGGTTCGCTTCCACCCGTGGCCCCTTTCCGCATGTCATTCCCCGCTCTCTCTCCCTGGTTTCCAACTCTATCCACTGTCCTCTCTCTGCATTAAAGGCACAAAAAAGCCCAAAAAAAGAAAGAACATTCTTTTTCCTGTGTGTAAATAGGACCACATGAGATTTGTAACCATGTGTGCTGCAGCAGTGGAGAGCTGGTAAAAAGAAACATTTCAGACAATTCTCAAAATTGTAGGTGTTGGCAGAAAAATTGTCAAGAGTGCTTTTTACACGAGGGTGCTACTTCATTTCATTCCATAATGTGGGGACGAGATGAATGTTGCCTATTAGGGTTAAGTGAAACCCCCTTCACCGGTTTATCGTGCAGCCTCTTGAAAGGGATACTTCACCCATTTGCATTAAGCTTTGTATCATTAGAAACCTGGTAGTATTTTTGAATGGTCGTGCATCTCTCCCTCATTTCCCCCTGAGATGTGAAATCTTTGTATTTCTGAGTCTGAAAAGGATCTTCCAGTGACGCAAAATGACGATTTTTGCGTCATTGGAAGCTGATGCGGTTAGTGGGGTGAAATTACAACGCTAGTTCCTCATATTTTACGACTGAACTACAGACCAATCACAGATCAGTGGATGGGACCTCACTCCCAGAATCTAAACTTAACGTCCACCATATTGCTTGGAAGCTATAATAACAGGCTCTATGGAGAAAGCTGATAATGGCGCAAAAATATAAATATAGCAGCGAGACGGCTGCTTGCAGACAGGCCAGTCTTGTGTTTTGGCAGCTGCTGGTTAAATTTCTACTGCTATACTGTATATTATGGAGAAACTGTAATGATCGAATTTCCCTCTGGGATTAATAAAGAATTTCTGATTCTGAAATAGGGGACCTTAGTGAGAGTGGCTTGCGGTGCTGTGCATTCTGGGATTTGGTGTCTTTCATCAACATGAGCCAAAAAGACACTTTCTACCTTTTCTCGGCCAAGAAGGCACCAACTTCAAAATGTATTTCACATTCTACTACATATATGACCCAATGTCAATACAGATTCATGTTTCAACAGGTGAAGTATCCCTTAAAGCACTCTTTAAGCTTCTCTCCTTGATCTGATTCAGTGAGCTGACCTGTTCATTCACACACTGGATGGAGGTTATCGTTGCTCCTTTGTGGTCCCTGATGACACGAACTGTTGCTCCATTCACAGGGCTGCTGACAACTACAAGACCATTCTTCCCAGCTGAAAGGATCATATGACCTATAGGGGTCAGAAGAAGATATAAAATTTATTTAGTACACATAGAAGAATACATCAAATAGGATTACAAAATATAAAAGGTGTGCCAGGAGAGGCCAAGAAGCCAACAGGCTTATACAAGTGACCTCACCTCTGAAGAGACAAATAAAAAAAAATAAAAAAAATGAAACTGAATGAAACATAAAAGCTCAAATAGAACATCAGCAGATTGGATCACTGGTCTTTGAATGTGATGGAAAGTTCTCCTTCTCACTACTTAACACTGCGCTAACCTTTGCAATAATACTCCAGATGCAGACAAACACAGATGACATACCGTTGGCAGAGTACTGGACAGCAGTTACAGCCACATTATGAGGCTGCAGCTTCATTGCCATCTCAGAGGAGGCAAGTCTGAAGATCCTCAGGGTGCCATCGCTGTACCCTGCAGCCACACACATGCTGTCCTTATTGCAAGAAGGGCTCCAGCATATACATCCACAGGCCTGACGCACACAGAAAAACATAAAAGATATATATTTTTAAAGGGTGTATTTACAAAATAAATGGTTCCTTCAGTTTATAGTGAATCTACCACTGCTCATTAAGAATACTCTCTCAGTGTGTCCTCACCTGGTTGAGCACCTGGAACTGCACCACCAGCTCGTTGCTGAGAGCCGACCAAACCCTCACACTGCCGTCCTCACTGCAGGTGGCAAAATGTCTCTCGTCAGAGCTGAACACCACGTCGTTCACCTGGAAAGCAGAGAGGAGAAGAGGCAGAGGATGAAGCCTGCTGAGACAACACTGAATGAACACAAACAGTAAGCCATCAACCCTGGAACCCCCAGGTTTAATGTGAGCAGCGTGACCCTCATGTCTGGGAATATGAGTATGCTCTGAACGATGGTTAGAGGGATACAAAAAATGATATAGCAGCTATTAATCAGTGTCTCTACAAAACATTTTATACAAGGGTGAAAAAGACAACAACATACAATTAAGTAGGATAAAAAATGTAATGAAGAAATAAA